GAACTTGAATGAAATAAAATATGTGAATGTGAATCTACGTAGATCTATCCATAAAGTATGTAAATCGACTTCAAACAAATATAAATAGGTCATCCGTTGGGCTATGTCTGTACTTCTAGAAAACGAAACTACATAATTCTATGCTCAATTTTGTACGTTGTGCAAAATTTGATGTCAAACTGACTAACATGAGGAGTTTGATGCGCAATTTACTTGAAATCGGGCCAAATATTAAGCGATTTCAAACAAACTTGTCACAGGATACGTTATACTAATTTCAGAACGTTTTGTTCCTATTGGTTCCTTGGTGCGTCAAGTACTTAAAATCAAACTATAATAAAATGGAGCTATATCTAAATGTGGACCGATTTTCACGAAACAACGCAGACATCAATCTAGGCTCAATTCAGTACGTTATGCCAAATTTCGTGCAAATCGAAAGATATATAGGGACTTTGGGGTACCATTTACATGAAATCGGACGAAACTATATATGGGAGCTATATCTAAATCTGGACCGATTTTCACAAAACTTTACATACATCATTCTAGACTTAAGTGATTAGGCTGTACCAAATTTCGTGCAAATCGAAAGATATATAGGGACTTTGGGGCACCATTTACATGAAATCGGACGAAACTATATATATAAGTGGGAGCTATATAGAAATCTGGACTGATTTTCATAAAACTTGGCAGACATCCTTCTAGGCTCAATTAAGTACGTTATGCCAAATTTCGTGCAAATCGAAAGATATATAGGGACTTTGGGGTACCATTTACATGAAATCGGACGAAACTATATATGGGAGCTATATCTAAATCTGAACCGATTTCCACGAAACTTTACATACATCATTCTAGACCTAAATGAATAGGCTGTACCAAATTTCGTGCAAATCGAAAGATATATAGGGACTTTGGGGCACCATTTACATGAAATCGGACGAAACTATATATGGGAGATATATCTAAATCAGGACCGATTTTCATGAAACTTGGCAGACATCATTCTAGGCTCAATTCAGTACGTTATGCCAAATTTCGTGGAAATCGAATGATATATAGGGACTTTGGGGCACCATTTACATGAAATCGGACGAAACTATATATGGGAGCTATATCTAAATCTGGACCGATTTTCTCTAAACTTGGCAGAAATCACTCTAGGCTTAATTCAGTACGTTATGCCAAATTTCGTGCAAATTAAAAGATATATAGGGACTTTGGGGCACCATTTACATGAAATCGGACGAACCTATATATGGGAGCTATATCTAAATCTGGACCGATTTTCCCGAAACTTGGCAGACATCACTCTAGGCTTAATTCAGCACGTTATGCCAAATTTCGTGCAAATCAAAAGATATATAGGGACTTTGGGGCACCATTTACCTGAAATCGGACGAAACTATATATGGGAGCTATATCTAAATCTGGACCGATTTTCACGAAACTTGGCAGACATCATTATAGACCGAAATGATTAGCCTGTACCAAATTTCGTGCAAATCGAAAGATATATAGGGACCGTTTACATTAAATCGGTTAAATATATATATGGGAGCTATATCTAAATCTGAACCGATTTTTCCCAATTTCAATAGGGTTCGTCCTTGGGCCGAATAAGTGACCTGTGCCAAATTTCATCCAATTCGGATCATAAATGCGACCTGTACTTTGTTTACAATTTAACATCGACAGACAGACGGACGGACGGACGGACGGACATGCATAAATCGACTTAGAAAGTGATTCTATGCATATTCTCAAAAGTAACCATGGGTCTATCTCGATTATTTTTGCCTGTTACAAACATATGCACAAAGACATAATACCCTGTACCACAGTGTGGTGAAGGGTATAAAAAGTACAGGTCGCATTTATGATCCGAATTGGATGAAATTTGGCACAGGTCACTTATTCGGCCCAAGGACGAACCCTATTGAAATTGGGAAAACTCGGATCAGATTTAGCTCCCTAATATATTTAACCGATTTAATGTAAACGGTCCCTATATATCTTTCGATTTGCACGAAATTTGGTACAGGCTAATCATTTCGGTCTATAATGATGTCTGCCAAGTTTCGTGAAAATCGGTCCAGATTTAGATATAGCTCCCATATATAGTTTCGTCCGATTTCAGGTAAATGGTGCCCCAAAGTCCCTATATATCTTTTGATTTGCACGAAATTTGGCATAACGTGCTGAATTAAGCCTAGAGTGATGTCTGCCAAGTTTCGGGAAAATCGGTCCAGATTTAGATATAGCTCCCATATATAGGTTCGTCCGATTTCATGTAAATGGTGCCCCAAAGTCCCTATATATATTTTAATTTGCACGAAATTTGGCATAACGTACTGAATTAAGCCTAGAGTGATTTCTGCCAAGTTTAGAGAAAATCGGTCCAGATTTAGATATAGCTCCCATATATAGTTTCGTCCGATTTCATGTAAATGGTGCCCCAAAGTCCCTATATATCATTCGATTTCCACGAAATTTGGCATAACGTACTGAATTGAGCCTAGAATGATGTCTGCCAAGTTTTATGAAAATCAGTCCAGATTTCTATATAGCTCCCACTTATAGTTTCGTCCGATTTCATGTAAATGGTGCCCCAAAGTCCCTATATATCTTTCGATTTGCACGAAATTTGGTACAGCCTAATCACTTAAGTCTAGAATGATGTATGTAAAGTTTTGTGAAAATCGGTCCAGATTTAGATATAGCTCCCATATATAGTTTCGTCCGATTTCATGTAAATGGTACCCCAAAGTCCCTATATATCTTTCGATTTGCACGAAATTTGGCATAACGTACTGAATTGAGCCTAGATTGATGTCTGCGTTGTTTCGTGAAAATGGGTCCACATTTAGATATAGCTCCATTTTATTATAGTTTGATTTTAAGTACTTGACGCACCAAGGAACCAATAGGAACAAAACGTTCTGAAATTAGTATAACGTATCCTGTGACAAGTTTGTTTGAAATCGCTTAATATTTGGCCCGATTTCAAGTAAATTGCGCATCAAACTCCTCATGTTAGTCAGTTTGACATCAAATTTTGCACAACGTACAAAATTGAGCATAGAATTATGTAGTTTCGTTTTCTAGAAGTACAGACATAGCCCAACGGATGACCTATTTATATTTGTTTGAAGTCGATTTACATACTTTATGGATAGATCTACGTAGATTCACATTTAGATAAATATCACATATTTTATTTCATTCAAGTTCATGCTAATAGTCCTGTTTAATATACCCATAGTGGTGAAGGGTATCATATAGTCGGCCCCGTCCGACTTTACTACTTTCCTTACTGGTTTTTTTTTTAATGTTGCAGTGCTAAAGGAAAAAAAATGGGAAAATTTAAATAGATCTTATCGCGGAAAAAGCGGCCAATGAAATAATTCCTTGAATTGTTTCTTGAAAATTGTTTATTTTATTTTATTTTAACGATGGAGATTTAAAAGCATAACTACCAAAGCAGAAGAACTGTAAAAAATGATTGAAAAAAATAGAAAATTCAAGGTAGCTGAATTTTGAATTTTATATTCAAAAAATTTCTTTCAAATACCCATTCTTAAATTATAGATTTCTTTAATTATTTCCCATTCAGCTTAATAGTATCAAAAATTTATTTAGGTTTCTATCAAAACATCAATTATCTGCAATAAATATCCCAAAAATACATCCTTTAATAATGCACGTGGGTAGCAGTATTTTATTAGCTCGCAACTAATCCATATTATCGACAAAAATCATACACCCAGTCGGACCCTTTTTCATGGCTATTAATCATTACACTTTTTGTTTATTTCCATGCTTCGCATCATTTTCTGTTTATCTATGGTCATCACATAATTCAATTTGTGCTCTTTTGTTTCGTATACTTTTCTAGGAATTAGCCGAAAGTGAAAATTTCACCATCACCCATTTTCGTGAAATATCGGATTACGTGCCAATCGACAACACTCTAATCAAAATGCAGAAAATCATCGATGAAACCTACACAACGACACGCAGTAAGTTTAATAGAATTGATAAAAAAAGGTCATTGAAAATATTTTCGGGGAAAAAGAAAAGATGAAGACATACGTAGTTTATCACAATTTTGTATTTTTCGTACAACATAGAAATGTGTAAAAGCACAATCTTAAACTCATATATCATAGTTCCCAAGATGTATGTTAATATTGGGGTAAACGGCTGAAATCACTTTGTGAGAAATGATTAATAAAGGTCACGCACCATACTATGCACGCACAATGATTAATAGATTATTCTCCTGAAAATGTCCAAAAGGGCAAGAAAAATCTTTGTCAATCTCATAGAAGAGAAATATACGATAGTTTGTTTTCTTAAAATAGATGTTATATAGTTTATAAAGTATATGGGCAAATATTTCCATTTTTATACCCATCATCACACTGTGGTACAGGGTACTATGTCTTTGTGCATATGTTTGTAACAGACAAAGAGATAAACACAAGGGTATTTTTTAGGAATATACATACAAGGGCGGTTCGGAAACTTCTTAGCCTATCAAAGAAAGAGAATAGTTAGCTTTTCAAAAATATTTTTATTTTTCAATATAATCTATCTTGAAACTTCGTCCAATGCTTTTCTAGAAATTCTAACCCTTGATTAAAATAGTTTTCCTCAAGGTCTTTAAAATAGTGGTTTACAACAGCAGTTGCATCTTCAAACAGTAATTGTACAGGGTATTATGTCTTTTTGCATATGTTTGTAGCAGGCAAAAGGAAACGTGATAGACACATGGTTCCTTTTGAGAATACGCATAGAATCACTCTCTGAGTCGATTTATGCATGTCCGTCCGTCTGTCTGTCCAGGTTAAATTGTAAACAAAGTACAGATCGCATTTATGATCCGATTTGGATGAAATTTGGCACAAGTCACTTATTTGGCCCAAGGACGAACCCTATTGAAATTGGGACAAATCGGTTCAGATTTAGATATAGCTCCCATATATATTTTCGTCCGATTTAATGTAAATGGGGCACCAAAATCCCTTTATATCTTTCGATATATGTTTCGTGGAAATCGGTTCAGATTTAGATATAGCTCCCATATATAGTTTTTTCCGATTATATGTAAATGGTGCACCAAAGTTCCTATATACCTTTCGATTTGCATGAAATTTCGCACAGCGTACTGAATTAAGTCTTGAATGATGTGTGCTAAGTTTCGGAAAAAATTCGTTCGGGTTTCGATATCGCTGCCACATATTCATATATATTCGTCCGATTTTACATAAATGGTGCACCAACCTTCTATGTTCCTTGGATGCGTATGTTCCATGTACAATATACCCAAAGTGGTGAAGGGTACATATAGTCGGCCCAGCCCGACTTTACTGCTTTCCTTACTGGTTTATATTAAAATAGTTATCTAATTTGTTCCGCGTTTTGGGTTTGGTTCTAAGAGTCTGTCGTAATCATTTAACCTGCGGAAGATATCGAGATAAAGTTAGAACGTAAGGTTCGATAATGAACTATAACCCGCATTTAGGCCTAGCAGCTGTGTGGGAGGTATCAGAGGGAGTGGACCGATAGTCCACATTTTCGAACCTGAACTAAGTTTGGAAGAATAATAATACAGGCACAGGTTGGATGAAATCAACATTTTCTGGAACATGGTTCACATTATGGTTTTGGTATTTTCTCTACATTTTCATTTCAACTTCCTTTTAGTATATCTATGGTGGAGGGTATCCAAAGTTCGGCCCGGCCGAACTTAACGCTTTTTCACTTGTTTGGTACATAATTTTGATTAAATCGGGTGAAAATATACATGGTAGTTATATCTAAACCTGAAACGTTCCCAATCCAATACGCTGCGCCATTTACGTAAAATCGTACGAAAATATATATGGAAGCTATATCTAAATATGAGCCGATTTTCTCCAATTTTCTTTCAATAGGGTTCGGCCTTGAGCCAAATAAGTGACATGTGACATACCAAAGGAAGGACGAACAAACGGACAATCATGAATCGACTCATAAAGTGATTCTATGCATATTATCAAAAGGAACCATTGGTCCATTTCAATGCATTTTGCCTGTCACAAACATATGCACAAAGACATAATACCCTGTACCACAGTGTGGTTAAGAATATAATGAGATGTAGATGTTTCAGAAAATATGCTCCATTCAAATGTCCCGTTTAATTTTCGGTATGTTGGAGTTTTCCAAACTGAGTGTCTGTACAATGTTGAATAACATTTCTTTTCCGAGCATCAAAACCTAACTACCCCAAAAATTACATTAACAAAGTCCTCCGATAAAAGTGCCAGCCGATTTAAAGAATCCATGCTGAACGGCCGAGTCGTTCACCTGGACTGTAACTTAAAAAGAATAAAGATGAAAGTATGGAAAATAAATTTTACTAATTCCCTTGCCATCAATGCTGTAATTGAAAAAATTATAGACAAACTGATAATTTCCATTTTTCAATTCCTAGTCGAGTATAATAAGTATTTTTCAGGAGGGTGTCACTTTTGTGCTCAAATTATGAAGCGATCTGTGAAGTTTGCCAAATCGAAACATTAACACAAATCCAAACATTATTGTTGACAAAATAATTGATGTGTTGTTATGTAGCACATGTCTTCGACACAATCTGCAATTGCTTGAGCAAATGCATAGTATTGTAAACATTCTATCTCAATCTGTACGAATTATTTACAACACTTTGAACTTTTACTTCCTGCTGAGTTCTGCTGTAGTTTTCAACAGTCAACAGTCGCATGCATACATATATGAGTACCACACAATATACTTCAATGGACGTTATATTTTACATGTTGTCATAAATATCACACATACCTGCATATTTGATTCGAACTTCCTAAAATTTCCAATTTCAACTGCGACCCAGAGGGTGAGAAAATATTTACAATTGTCACTTAGCATGTCATGGTCATGACCACAACTACAACGACTACTACCTGTTGCGAAATAAACAAGTCATGAAGGTTGATAACAAAACAAATATTGATTGTTAACTCAGCCATGTTGGAGATGACGAAATTTCCCTGTAGCACAATTTTCCTTTGACATGTAATGACAGCAGCAGTGGCATTTGTATTATGAAGTGAATTATATCAGCATACTGTCTTTATTACAGGATACCTTCAGTTATTGGATGGATTTGCTTGAAAATTGTTGAATTTAAAAGTAAGCTTTAAGCTGAAAGGAGGATCAACTTAACGGTTAATGCGAACTCTATGCATTTAACCAGTAAGGAAAGTAGTAAAGTCGGACAATTAAAAATGAGTACTTTCATTGTAAAAATATCGCGAATGAGTCTTTTTAGAACACCTGTTTCGATATGAAGGTGTTGCCAGATCAAAAAAAGATTAACATGTGGAAGTTTCCAAAAGATATGGAAGTTTCCAAAACACTTAAACAATTTTGAGAATGTGCATAGAATCACTTTCTGAGTCGATTAACGCATGTCCGTCTGTCTGTCCGTCCGTCCATGTTTGTTTTGTGAACAAAGTACAGGTCGCATTTATGATCCGATTTGGATGAAATTTGGCATATGTCACTTATTTGGCCCAAGGACAAACCCTATTGAAATTGGAGAAAATCGCTCCCATATATAGTTTCGTCCAATTTTATGTAAATGATGCACCAAACCCACACTATTTGTTCGATTGGGACAAAATTCTGCACAGAGTACTAAATAAGGTACGGACTGATTTCTGTGAAGTTTTGTTAAAATCGGCTCAGATTAGATATAGTTTCAAACATATATTTACGTAGCACATTTAATTTCGTCCGAGTCCATCTCAATGGTCCCCAAGGATTCTATGTCCCTCCTATCTACAGTATATTGTAGATATTAACATCTCTTTTTTAACACCCTGTGACTCACAACTGAATGCACCAAACACAAAAAACAGCAAACCATGTTTATAAACTTCACCACCCTGTGGTACAAGGTATTATGTCTTTGTGCATATGTTTGTAACAGGCAAAAATAATCGAGATAGACCAATGATTCCTTTTGAGAATATACATAGAATCACTTTATGAGTCTATTTATGCATGTCCGTCCGTCCGTCTGTTAGTGTTAAATTGAAACGAAAGTACAGGCCGCATTTATGATCCGAACAGGATGAAATTTGGCACAGCTTATTTGTTTGGCCCTATTGAAATTTGGGAAAAATGGGTTCAGATTTAGATATATTATGCAAAGTTTCGTGAAAATCGGTTCAGATGTAGATATAGCTCTCATATATGTTTTCGTCCGATTTAAAGTAAATAGTGTATCAAAGTCCCTCTATATCTTTCGATTTGCACGAATTTTGACACAGCGTAATGAATTAGGTCTAGAATGATGTGTGCTAATTTTCGTGAAAATCAGTTCAGATATAGATATAGCTCCCATATATATTTTCGTCCGATTTTATGTAAATGGCCCACCAAAGTCCCTATATATCCTTCGATGTGTATGAAATTCGGCATAGCTTAATGAATTAGGTCTAGAATATTGTGTGTTAAGTTCCCTGAAAATCGGTCCAGATTTAGATATAGCTATCATATATATTTTCGTCCGATTTCATGTATATGGTGCACCAAAGTCCCTATATATCTTTCGATTTGCAGGAAATATGGCGTAGCGTACTAAATTATGTCTAGAATGATGTGTGTTACATATTCTGAAGATCGGTCCAGATTTAGATATAGCTTCCATATATATTTTCGTCCGATTTAATGTAAATGGTGTACCAAAGTCCCTTAATATCTTTCTAGCGTAATGAATTACGTATAATAATGATGTGTGTTAAGTTTCCTGAAATTGGTTAAACAATGAAATGTTTATGGATCCAATTTCATTTTACTGGTCCTTTAAAAATGCGGCGTGTGTTAGGATTCATCTGTTGAATATACCCAAAGTGGTGAAGGGTATCATATAGTCGTGCCCGTCCGACTTTACTACTTTCCTTACTTTTTCTCATTATGTCCTGGAAATTAATAATGACTTACAAAGTTTCTTATATCCCGCAGAGACCATTTACAAAGCAGTAAGGAAATTAGTAAAGTCGGAATGGACCGACTATATTATACCCTTCACGACTTTGGGTATATTGTATATATATATACATCTCCACAATTGCATGTCAATGTTTGCTCGAAGGAGCTCACTTAAGCTAAATTTAATTTCATTCGGGCAGATTTGGTGTCGTCTGCGTACCATGGGACAAATTTATGTAAAACGATTTATAGCAAAATTGATACACGCTTAATTAATACGCCGAATAGACACTCTGTTCGAAATACATATGGAAGCTATGGCTGCATCTGCACCAATTTCAACAAAACCAAATAACGTCATTCAAGTCTCAATTTGATACGTTGTGCAAAATTTCGTGTTAATCGGACAATCATTAGGAGTTTGGTGCACCATTTATGTAAAATCGGACGAATCGAAGGATATATAGGGATTTTGGTGCACCATTTACATAAATCTGACGCTAATATATATGGGAGCTATATCGAAATCTGAACCAATTTTTACGAAATTTAGCACACATCATTCTAGACTCAATTCAGTATACTATAGGGAATTTGGTGCACCAGTTACCTTATATCGAACGAAAATATATATGGGCAATATTGCCAATCTATTAATATTCCATTTTCCCACCAGTAAGGAAAGTAGTAAAGTCAGACTGGGCTGACTATATGATACCCTTCACCACTTTGGGTATTTTTTACATATGTACCGAACCGATTTCAGGGAAACTTGCCAGAAACAAATTTATATAACATCAGTACGATGTGTCAATCGGCCTAGCTAAGCATCTTTTCACGAAGCTTAGCAGCATCATTCTAGACTTAATTCAGTATCCTATACCAAAATTCGTGCAAATCGAAAGATATATAGGGTCTTTGGTGCACCATTTACCTTAAATCGGATGAAAATATATATGGGAGCTATATCTAAATCTGAACTGATTTTCACGAAACTTGGCAGACATCATTCTCGATCTTATTCAAAACTCTGTGCCAAATTTCATGCACATCAAAAGATTTCCAGGGACTTTAGTGGACTATTCACCTAAAATCGGGTGAAGCTATATATGGGACTATATCTAAATCTGAACCGATTTTCACGAAACTTTGCACACATCATTCTAAACTTAATTTAGTACGCTGTACCAAATTTCATGCAAATCGAAAGATGTACGAAGACTTTGGTACACAATTAACATTAAATCGGACGAAGATATATATTGGAGCTATATCTAAATATGAACCGATTTTCACGAAACTTAGTAAACATCATTCTAGACCTTATTCATTACGCTGTGCCAAATTTCGTGAAAGTCAAAAGATTTTATAACGAGTGGACCCACAAACCTTAAGTAAAAACACGAGTGATTACAATTTCAATCTTTATTATAATACTCTGGTGTTTATAATATGAGTAATAGTTTGGATGAGAGATAAGCTTTTATGTAGGAATCTTCTAATCGGTAATGGTAGCTGGGTATGGAGGTCTGATCGTTAATAGCCGGCTGGTTACAGTCGGCTCGGGGGTGGTTGAGTGATGTCGACTCGCAACTAATCGGCTGGTTGGTATTCGGGTTTGTTGTGGTCGGCTAGTTACAGTCGGCTCGTTGTTGGTCGGCAGGTTCGGCGTTTTCAGGGTTCGGGTTTTATCAGGGTTCGTTTAGTAGTTAGTGGTTATTAGTATGGAGCTAGCTATGAGCGGGGGAGCTAGCTATGAGCGGGGAAGCTGGCTATGAGCGAGGAGCTTGCAAAGAGCGGGGAGCTTGCAAAGAGCGAGGAGCTGGCTATGAGCGAGGAGCTTGCAAAGAGCGGGGAGCTGGCTATGAGCGGGGAGCTTGCAAAGAGCGAGGAGCTGGCTATGAGCGAGGAGCTGGCAAAGAGCGAGGAGCTGGCAAAGAGCGGGGAGCTGGCTATGAGCGAGGCCGAACCGTCGTTAACATTCACCAGTATACGAGACTGCGGACAAGCCACACATCTTTGTCACTCGTAGTTCGTTAACGTCCGAGGTCGACCACTTCGGCATGGAAAAGTGGAACTTATATCCGTATGGTACTATGAAGTGAATGAGAATTATTGTGTACTTCAAGAAAATTGTATGTCGATTAGTACAATGAAATTGAAGAACGCAGGTAATGATACCGGTTCAGGTTTAGAGTGAGACGTTATTCACTACTAAATATTGAGGTGGGTTGACATTAACTTGGGTCGTGCATAATGTATGAAACGGTCACGTTACAATTTCCAAGAACTTTAGTAGACTATTTACCTAAAATCGGGCGAAGCTATATATGGGAGCTATATCTAAATCTGAACTGATTTTGACGAAACTTTGCACATATCATTCTAGACTTAATTTAGTACGTTGTGCTAAATTTCGTGCAAATCGAATGATATATAGGGACTTTGGTGCACCATTTACCTTAAATCGGACGAAACTATATATGGGAGCTATATCTAAATCTGAACCGACTTGCTCGAAACTTGGCACACATCACGCTGCGCCTAATTCAGTACTCTATGCCAAATTTCATGCAAATCGAATGATATATAGGGACTTTGGTGCACCATTTACCTTAAATCGGACGAAACTATATATGGGAGATATATCTAAATCTGAACCGATTTTCTCGAAACTTGGCACACATCATTCTGGACCTAATTCAGTACTCTGTGCCAAATTTCATGCAAATCAAAAGATATAGAGGGACTTTGGTGCCCATTTACCTTAAATCCGACGAAACTATATATGGGAGCTATATCTAAATCTGAACCGATTTTCTTCAATTTCAATAGGGTTCGTCTTTGGGCCAAATATGTGAACTGTGCCAAATTTCTTCCAAATCGGATCATAAATGCGACCTGTACTTTGTTCATAAAAATACATGGACGGACGGGGAGACGGACATGCTTAAATCAGAAAGTGATTCTATGTATATTCTGAACCATGTGTCTATCTCGTTTCCTTTTGCCTGTTACAAACAAATGCACAAAGAGATAATACACCGTACCACACTGTGGGGAAGGGTATAACTATACTTACTTGGGAACCCTTTCCGGAAATCCCAAGGCGGTGTAAAGTCTTAAATCATAAACCAAAAGAATCCAATTTTTATTCGTTCTCTATAACCTTGCCATCAGTAGTACAATTTTGTTTTCGAATATTGTGTAAAACAATATTATTTGTAAGAAATATGTCATCAGTTCACTTTATAGCCCCTGGTTTCATATTTCTTCATTTGATTGTAGCTTTTCCTGTATTTCTCTCTGTTGTTACGACCCAACCATGTTTACAAACACGGAACGGAAAGGGAAAAATGGATTTAAATTACATTTTCATTTTAATATTTGTCATTTCTTCTTCTTTGTTTTGTTTCCAGTCTATGTTTTTATCGGTGAACACATTGCCATGGTGGATTTTGTGCGCTGTATGCAGAATCGTAAACTTCTGGAGGATGGCGACTACATCATTATTTCTGTCGACGATGAAATCTATGATTCGAAACGACGTGTCAACATCATGGAGCGAAGTAAGTAACCAATTGTTTGTTTATCTATGAATAGAATTGTGGATATCTATGGCTGTCTGTGAGGTTGTTTGTGTGAAAATTGATTGAATGATTGATGGCATTGTGTGTGTGTGTCCTTTTTGTGTCACTTTTTTTTTTGCTGACTTCTGAGATGTGATTTTGAAGAATAAACAATAATTTCCCTTCTTTTGTGTGCATTTATCTTCTGCAGACTATTTGGATCCTTACATAAAGAAGGAGAAAAGCAAATCCTTGGACAAGCATTCACTTCGTTCGGTGATAAAAATTAGCATGTCATATCCACAAAATCCAGACATACGGTAAGTATGTGATACAAATATGTAAATTCTTTGAAAAATTATTGAACACTCACACACACGCACACACAAATACATTTGCAATATTTACACAACATCGTAATAATGACTAGTAGGTCCTCTTTTCATCTGTAACACAAGACCCATTTTCGGTTTACTCATCGTTTCATCACTTTGTTCGGAAAAGGAGATAATTTGTAACACAAAGACGATTAATACGATACGACATACGATTCAAATTTATGAAAATCTTGCTGTCTCTTTTCGCAAAACGAAAGCATTTTTGAGTCGTCATGGACACCTTGTCGGTCACAATGGAGAAATTAATTAAAAAATTTGAGCAATTACGGCAAATTAGTTAAATGAACAAATACCATAAAAGTCGCTCAAGTCCATTTACTTTAAATCTGACGAAAATATATAAGGAAGCTATATCTAAATCTGGACCGATTTCAAGAAAATTTAGCGGAAATCAACCTGCAGTAATTTCAGGACAAAATTTTGTCTCAATCCGGCAAATATTAACAGTATGGTGTAACATTTACATAAAATCGGAGAAAACTATATATAGGAGCTATATCTAAATCTGAACCGATTTCAACACAACTTGACATATATCAATCTAGACCTAATTCAGTACTCTGTGCAAAATTTTGGCAATATGGTGCTCCATTTATATAAAATCGGACGAAACTATATGTGGGAGCTATATCTAAATACGAACAGATTCCAACAAAATTCGCATACATCAGTCCAGACCTAATTTAGTACGCTGTACAAAATTCTGCCTCAATCAGACAAAAATTGCCAGTATGGTGCTCCATTTAAATAAAATCGAAGGAAACTATATATGTGAGCTATATCTAAATCTGAACTGATTTAAAAAAAAAAACTTAACGGACGTCAACCTGCAGTAATTGCAATACGGATGTCAACCTGTAGTAAATTCAATACGCTATGCCAAATTTTCTCTTAATCGGACGAACATTGGCAGTATGGTGCACCATTTACATAAAATGCGACGAAACTATATATAGGAGCTATACCTAAATCTGAAACGATTTCCACAAAACTTGGCATATATCAATCTATACCTAATTCAGTACTCTGTGCAAAATTTTGTCTCAATCGGACCAATATTGGAAGTTTGGTGCACCATTAATTGAAATCAGACGAAACTATATATGGGAGCTATATCTAAATCTGAAAGGATTTTCTCCAATTTCAGTAGGGTTCATCCTTGGATCAAAAAAGTGACATGTGCCAAATTTCATTCAAATCGGATCATAAATGCGACCTGTACTTTGTTCACAACAATACATAGACGGACGGATATACCGACGGACGGACTGTCCGACAAAGGAATCGAGATAGATCCATGGTTCCTTTTGAGAATGTAATTCTATGAATATTCTCAAAAGGAACCATGGACCTATTTCGATTCCTTTTGCCTGTTACAAACATATGCACAAAGACATAATACCCTGTGTGGTGAAGGGCATCGGTATTGTGCGCATCTCATCCAATTTGAAAGACCATGTTTCGAGATGTTGTCTTTCACTTGATCTTTCCATCGAATTCGTAGCCTTCCCCTTCTGCGTGCACCAACAGTTGACTCGCTTTTATAAGCCTTTCGAGTTGGGGAATCCTTTCCATTCACACAGCATGACCTAGCCAACGTAGTCGCTGCAGCTCGATACGTCTGACTATGTCGATGTCAGAGAATAGATGGTACAACTTATGTTGATTCGACTGGCTTATTCACCGTCAACGCAGATCGGCTTATAGATCTTTTGGAGAAATGTTCTCTCGAACACTTCTAGAGCTGCCCCATCTGCTTACGCAAGTACCTATGCTTCAGATCCATACATCAGCAGGGGTACCATCAGTGTCTTGTAGGGTGTGAGTTTGGTCCTAATTGTTTACCTCGACCTAATTGCTCAGTTGGCCAACACTATTCTTCTCCGAATTTCAAAATTGATACCACTAGTTCTATATATAGCGGTACCAAGATATATATAAAATCTTTGACTACTTCGAAGCTGAAGTTCTCAAGTTCCACAGTTGGGCCGAGTCTACTGGATGACTTGCGCGTTGTAACCATCTGCTTGGTCTTCTCGCCATTTACTGCCAGACCCACTTTGGCAGACTCCTTCTCAACTTGTTCACAGGTGGCTGTTGCCACTCGCAATGTTCGTCCCATTATATCGATGTAATCGGCGTAGGCGAGTAACATATGCTGTTTGATGTACAGAATGGCATTTCTGTTCACCTTTGCGTCTCGTATCACCTTTTCCAGCAGGATGTTAAAAAGATCACACGACAAACTGTCACCTTGTCTGAATCCTAACATTGTGTCAGTTAAAGTTATCCCGCATAGTCGTATTAATTTTGCAGTAATGCCGAACGCTTTAAACTCCTCTGAACGGATAGGGCTGTCGAATTCGGCTTTATAGTCGACGAATAGGTGGAATGTTTTTTGTGGGTCTTTTCCAGGATCTGGCGCAAAGTCAAAATCTGGTCAATGGTGGGCGTTTGTCAGGCCTGAAACCGCATTGGTATGATCCAATAATGTCATTGACCATTGGCTTCAGCGATGGGAAGTAGATTTGTTCCTCTATATATGACACTAGGATGCTGAGGTCCCAATCATTGGTCATTCGTTCCTCTAGCCAAATTGTACCCATCAGCTGGTGCATGCTCCTGACCAAAATCTGACCACCAGTCTTAAATAGTTCGGCTGGTAACCCATCGGCTGCTTTTTTATTATTCAGCCGATTGATTGATACTCTAACTTATCTTGACTAGGTGGTATACACTCTATACCATCATCTCTTATTGTTTCTGAGGTATCTTCTTCACCGCCACTATTTGATAACAGAAGCTTTTCAAAATGCTCCTTCCAGATCCACAACACGCTGTCTGTATCTGTCACCAGGTTTCCTTCTTCGTCTCTACAGGAGGTTGTGCATGCACCAAAGCCTTCGGTTTGGTGTTTTACTCGTTGGTAAAATTTCCGGACTTCAGTCTGACTCCTGTACATCTCGATTTGCTCATTCTCACGTTTTTCTTGTTCTTTCTTCTTTTTTCTGAAAATACGTTTCTCCACTCTCATTTTCTCCCGATAATTCTCCATCACATTACGTGTATCAGTAGCATTACGACACTCCTGATCGTACCATGGGTTTCATAATGGTGTTTTTTTGGTACCCAATTGCTGCTTTTGCTGCAGTTTGTAGGGAGTGAGTAATTCTTTGCCATTGTGTTTTTATATTGTTATCGGGACAAGGAATGCTTTCGTCAAGCAGCTGGGTAAGTTGAGCACAGTAGGCTTCTGCTACCTGTTGTGTTTGCAGCTTTTCGACGTCGAGTTTCCGTATTACATTAGATCGCTCCTTTGCTGCTACATTAAGACAAGTGCGAAATTTTGTGGTATATAGTAAAGGTCCGAATCGATATTCGCTTCTCGGATTGATCGAACGTCTAAAACTCTGGATAAATGCCTACCGTCTATTACATCATTCGATTTTCTCGTTGTTCGATCGAAAGAAATCCAGGTGGCCTTGTGTATATCGAGATGCTTGAATCTGATGCTGCTAACAATCATGTTTTTTGCTGCCGCGAAGTCAATCAACCCTTATGCCGTTGTCGGATGTTTCTTCATGGAGGCTAAATTTTCCGACGTTGGGACCAAAAATATTTCCTCTCGATTTTTGCATTGAAATCGTCTAGCAGGGCAGCGATCATATGCTGTTTCTAGGCGCTCAGAAAATATGTTTTTGGTCTGCTCATCTTTGTCTTCGGTCGGAGCATGGGCGCAAATAAGACTGATATAGAAGAATTTCGCTTTTATCTGGTTTATAGCAATTCGCTCATTTACCGGAGTGAATCTGGAGACGAGGTCTTTTATTCTCCTGTTAACCATAAATCCGCAACCAAATTCATGTCTCGTTTCATGGCAGCAATAATACAGGGCGTAATCTCCTGATTTACTTACGCCAGTCCCTTTCCATCGCCTTTCCAGTCTTGAGTACATCCACCAAAGCTCTAACTGCGCCAGTTCTGTACAACGTACGCACATTCCAAGTGCAGATTCGCAGATCGTAGTTTTTTATACGTTTTTGTGGTGGTAGTCTGATTCTGGTTTTCTTTTTCGTTGCTTGTTCATAGTGGGAGCGGTTTTCCGAGTGATAGTTCTTATGGTAGTTCTTATTTTTGATAGTTCTTATTATACCCTTCACCACACTGTGGTACAGGGTATTATGTCTTTGTGCATATGTTTGTAACAGTCAAAAATAATCGAGATAGACACATGGTTCCTTTTTAGAATATGCATAGAATCACTTTCTGAGTCGATTTATGCATGTCCGTCCGTCTGTAGATGTTATATTGTAAACAAAGTACAGGTCGCATTTATGATCCGATTTGGACGAAATTTGGCACAAGTCACTTATTTGGCCCAAGGACGAATTCTATTGAAATTGGGAAAAATCGGTTCAGATTTAGATATAGCTCCCATATATATTTTCGTCTGATTTATGGTAAATGGGGCACCAAAGTCCCTCTATATCTTTCGATTTGCACGAAATTTGGCATAGAGTACTGAATTAGGTGTAGAACGATGTGTGCCAAGTTTCGAGAAAATCGGCTCAGATTTAGATATAGATCCCATATATAGGTTCGTGCGATTTAAAGTAAATGGTGCACCAAAGTCCCTATATATCATTAGATTTGCACGAAATTTGGCATAGAGTACTGAATTAGGTGTAGAATGATGTGTGCCAAGAAAGAAAATCGGTTCAGATTTAGATATAGCTCCCATATGTAGTTTCGTCCGATTTTAGGTAAATGGTGCACCAAAGTCCCTATATATCAATCGATTTGCATGAAATTTGGCATAGAGTACTGAATTAGGTGTAGAATGATGTGTGCCAAGTTTCGATAAAATCGCTTCAGATTTAGATATAGCTCCCATATATAGTTTCGTCCGATTTAAGGTAAATGGGGCACCAACGTCCCTCTATATCCTTCGATTTGCACGAAATTTTGCTTAGAGTACTGAATTAGGTCCAGAATGATAAGTGCCAAGTTTAGAGAAAATCAGATTTAGATATAGTTCCCATATATAGTTTTATCCGATTCTATGTAAATGGTGCGCCAAAGTTCCTGTATAACTTTCGATTTACATGAAATTTGGCACAGCGTACTGATTTATGTCTAGAATGATGTGTGCTAAGTTTCGGAAAAGTCGGTTCTGGTTTCGATATAGCACCCACATATTTACATAAATTGTGCACCAACCTTCTAATGTTTGTAAATGGTGCAAGAGAATCTCCATATTTGTCCGATTGAGACAAGATTTTGCACAGCGTACTGAATTAAGTTCAGTTTGTTGAAATCGATGGTCCTCCAGTGATGCTATGTCTTGTATGTACTCAATGTGGTGAAGAGTATCATATAGTCGGTCCTGTCCGACTTTTGAACTTCACTTACTAATTATTTGGTGGATTTTTTTTAAAGCTCATCATCTTATATTTGACCAGAGGGACGTTAATCGCAATCACATTAGCTTTGAACTCCACTCCTACCAATATCTAAAATTTTTTACAAACCAAGTAGTATTTCATGGGCCTTTGCTGAAAGGGAATTAAAAACAAACAAACAAAAACTGCATAAAATATATCAATACGTGAGAGATCCTCACCAATATTTTGAGTCATTTAAGACCTGGTAGGAGTATGCGGTACATAATAACACATAAGAAGATTAAATATTTATGGCATATCAAGTAAGCTAAAGATTACCAAGAAATTTAAAAATATTCAACATTTCCCGCCCACTAATAATAAAAAAACAAAAGCCATGTATTTAAAGCCCTCAAGGTTTTAACACGGACTATGATACCAGCATATGTACATACACTCATACATATTTATACAACATAACACATACATAAACAATAACATTTAATCCCTTTCATGCCTTTCATTGTCGTTCCACCTTATTTTCGTTACAGTGAAAAATGTACAAAAATCAAGGAGTATTCACGCAAACATCCATTTTTAGTACCCTACCATGAACGTGTCTTTGACAATATTTCGGTAAGTTGTAATGTCGAGAATAAGAAGAAGAAAAAAAATAAAAAAGAAACCCTCCCGAAAAAAATCCCTAACATAATTTTTATTCACTGCTGAACACACACACAAACGCACTCACACTCCTTACACACATCCATCCACACATCTTTCTCAACCTCTCCACCACCCACATATATCCACATACCATGTACATACATAAATACACCCGCAGGTACCCATTTATGCTCTGCATTTATACGACAGCGTCCAGATTTATGCCAGAGCTTTAACAGAAGTCCTTCAGATGGGTGGCGATATTTACGATGGACGCCTGGTGATGAGCCGCATCTTTAATCGTTCGTATCATTCCATACAAGGATTTGATGTAAGTGTAAACATTATTCTTATCTCATATTTTTATTGTTTTTTTTTTATACCGTTGAGTATTACAAACAGAATGTAATTTGATGTATAACATAACGTATGGGTAAACACAAGAGGAGGTGGTACGGTGGAATGACAAGTCTAAAATGTTGAAAGAAAATTTTGTATTAATCTGATTTTTCGTTTGCAACAGCTCGCTAAAGTATATATTTGCTTGATCGGAAATTATTTCTAGGTTGCTTTTGTTCTATCTGTCCGTCTGCATTAGTTAAAATCAGAATATTGATCGCAATATTCTATATAGAACTTTTAAGGGGAACCCCGTCATTCTCTATTTAAAATTTTCAAGATGTTCATTGGGCTAGTTGGTACACATTTAAAAACCAGTAAGGAAAGTAGTAAAGTCAGACGGGGCCGACTATATGATACCCTTCACCACTATGGGTATATTTAATAGATGCACCTAACAGAAGGACCATTAACATGAAAGTGGGTGAAGGACATGGATCAATCCATAAACATGCCGTCCATTGATACAATGAACAAAATAATCTAAATCGATTTAAAGCAAATATCAACCGTTGAACACTTGGAACACGAAGTCGGTTCGATATATATGGGCTACATCTGTACTTCCACACTCAAGTACGTCATTCTATTCTGAAAAAAACATGAAGAGTATGGTGCAACATTTACATAAAATCGGAAAAAATAGATAAGAAAGCTATATCCAAATATGAACGGACTTCAACGAAACTTGTCACAGTTTAGGTTAGACTAATACGACACCATATAGGGTATAATCCAAATCTGGACGGATTCCAACAAAACATGACACACGTTTGGCTAAACTATCTTAAGTACGTTGTGCAAAATTTTGTGCAAATCTCAACCGATTTTCAGGCAATTTTACACACATCATTCTAGACTCAATTCAGTACATACGCCAAATTTCGTGCAAATCGAAGGATATATAAGGACTTTTGTACACTATTTATATTGAATCGGTCGAACATATTTATGGGACCTATGTCTAAACCAATTTTCAATAAATGTTACACACATCATTCTAGACCTAATTCATCACGCTATGCCAAATTTCGTGGAAATCGAATGATATATAGGGGCTTTGTTGAACCATTTACATTAAATCGGGCGAAACTATATATGGGAGCTATATATAAATCTGAACCGATTTTCGCGAAACTTAATACACATCATTCAAGACTTAGTTCTTTGGTGCACCATTGACCTAAAATCGGCCGAAACTATATATGGGACCTATATCTAAATCTGCACCGATTTTCACGAAACTTAGCACACGTCATCATTTCATGCACGGAATGCAAATCAAATGATTTTCAGGGACTTTGGTGTATATTTACCTAAAATCGGGCGAAACTATATATGGGAGCTATATCTAAATCTGCACCGATTTTCACAAAACTTAGCACAAGTCATTCTACACTTAATTCAGTACTCTGTACCAAATTTCGTGCACATCAAATGATTTTTAGGGACTTTGGTGCACCGTTTACCTAAAATCGGGCGAAACTATATATGGGAGCTATATCTAAATCTGAACCGATTTTCACGAAACTTAGCACAAGTCATTCTACACTTAATTCAGTACTCTGCACCAAATTTCGTGCAAATCGAATTATTTTCAGGGACTTTGGTGTACCATTTACCTAAAATCGGGCGAAACTATTTATGGGAACTATATCTAAATCTGAACCGATTTTCACGAAACTTAGCACAAGTCATTCTACACTTAATTCAGTACGCTGTACCAAATTTCGTGCAAATCGAATGATTTTCAGGGACTTTGGTGCACTATTTACCTAAAATCGGGCGGAACTATATACGGGAGCTATATCTAAATCTGAACCGATTTTTCCCAATTTCAATAGGGTTCGTCCTTGGCCGAATAAGTGACCTATGCCATTTGGGATTGTAAATGCGACCTGTACATTGTTTACAATTTAACATGGAAAGACAGACACACAGACGGCCGGACGGACATGCATAAATCGACTCAGAAAGTGATTCTATGCATATTCTCAAAAGGAACCATGGGTCTATCTCGATTCCTTTTGCCTGTTACAAACATATGCACAAAGACATAATACCCTGTACCACAGTGTGGTGAATGATATAAAAAGAAGAATAATTTGCAAAATGTGGTTGTTTTTTTGAGATCAAAGAAAAGTCCTTATTTTTGATGGCGATTCCAAGGGTGTTAGAAAGAAGTCAATAAAATCTGGCTCTAGTTTATACTAGAATTATTGATTTCGCCCAAAAATAAACAAAGTGGCGGATCTTTGAAAAAATGGAAATTCGCCTATTTTTGACCATAAACTAAATTAAACAAGTGAAAAAACGATAAGTTCGGCAGGCCCGAACTTTGCACACCCTCCACCATAGGTATACTGAAAGATACTTGCAATGAAATTTCGGCAATTTTTAATGAAAACCCCAAAGCGTGGACTGATACTAATAACGCATGGTAGAATATACAATCCTCAAACTTCTGCAATTTAGATTACAAAGTTAGATTACATACTGTAGGAATTATGCCTAAATGCTGGCCGATATATTTCATTATCATCAGTTTCGAGTTTTTTATCATGATTTCCTTAGAAAGCGGAATGATTACAACCAGTGTTACCAATTTAGTACTTCTAGTGCTAGATTTAGCACTTTTCAAACTTATTTAGCACCAAAAAAAGTGATCTAGCACCTAGCACCTTTTTTAGCATTTTTATTTTTTCTGGAATTTGTTAAAATTTTGGGCATTACTTCGATTTCAAATTGACGCATTAAAATGTCCCTATGTTTCACGCTATGATTATTCAATGTTAAAAAGTGTCAGTACATCTGTAGACAAGTAAAAAATCTCATGGTCGGCCGATGAGAAATTTTTATTCCATCGGATTCCATCTCTTGGCTCTCTTTTATATGCCTTTTGAGCTGGGGCATCTTCATCCATTCTCACAAGATGGCCTAGCCAACGTAGTCGCTAGGTCGATGTCTGAGAATAGATTGTATAGCTCATGGTTCATTCGACGGCAATATTCAGCATCGACGCAGATCGACCCATTGATCTTCTGGAGAATTTTTCCAGCAGTATTCTTCTTCGGATTTGACAGCTGATTGTATTAGTTTTGTTTATGGCAGTACCGAGGTATATAAAATCGTTCGCTACCTCCAAGCTGTAGTTTTCAAGTTCCACCGTTGGCCCGAGACCATCAGCCTGGTCTTTTTGCCATTTACTGCTAGTCCAACTTTGGCAGGCTCCTTCCCAATTCGTTCAAAGGTGGCTGTTACCGATCGCAATGATCGTCGATGTCGTCGGCGTAGGCGAGTAACATATGCTGATTGGTGTACGGAGTACCATTTCTGTTCACATTTGAATCTCGTATGATCTTTTCAAGCAGAATGTTGAACAGGTCAGACGACACTCTCATCTTGTCTGAATCCTCGTTCGGTATTGAAAGGCTCCGAGAGGTCCTTTCCTACTTTAACTGATCACATTGTACTAGTTAATGTTATCCTGCCTAGCCGTATTAATTTTGCAGGAATGCCAAATGCAAGCATGGCTTAAAACACATCTGAACGGTTTTAAACACCACTTCAGTGTACCGAAAATGGGTCACGTTCCACTTTATAATGGGGTTATGTCAAAATATGGAGAAAATAGAAGCAGAAAATAGAGCAGTACTTTAATATGAGGACTATGTACAAACCTTCGCGTTGACAGTTTTCTGCATATATGCCATTCTCGAAAACCCCACAAAACTGGTATTAACACTTTTTAGTGTTTTGGCAACACTGATTACAACTGATGGCTAAACCATCTTAGAATGGTAGAATACACTTATAAGAACCCCAAGATACCGAAAACTGAGGGTGTCTTATATGGGGGTTACCTGAAAAAATGGGTCCATATTTATAATTTTTAGTGAAGAAATTTGGAATTGAAAAGCGAATTCGGTTGAAAAGCGCACTCAAAGTCCTAAAATTTCGAAAATTGGGCGGTACCCTTATAAGGGGTCTATGCCCAAACGTGGATCGATATAGCCAATCTTGATCTGCCTGCAGACAAAAGACAAACCTATGATGCTGGCACAATAAATCGGCTATATCTTTGAGAATATGCATAGAATCACTTTTTAAGTCGATTTAAGCATGTCCGTCTGTCCGTCTGTCTGTCTGTCCATGTTAAATTGTAAACAAAGTACAGGTCGCATTTATGATCCGAATTGCATGAAATTTGGCATAGGTCACTTATTCGGCCCATGGACGAACCCTATTGAAATTGGGAAAAATCGGTCCAGATTTAGATATAGCTCCCATATATATATTTAACCGATTTAATGTAAACGGACCCTATATATCTTTCGATTTGCACGAAATTTGGTACAGCCTAATCATTTAGGTCTAGAATGATGTCTGCCAAGTTTCGTGAAAATCGGTCCAGATTTAGATATAGCTCCCATATATAGTTTCGTCCGATTTCGTGTAAATGATGCGCCAAAGTCGCTATATATCTTTCGATTTGCACGAAATTGGGCATAACATACTGAATTGAGCCTAGAGTGATGTCTGCCAAGTTTCGTGAAAATCGGTCCAGACTTCTATATAGCTCCCATATATAGTTTCGTCCGATTTCGTGTAAATGGTGCGCCAAAGTCGCTATATATCTTTCGATTTGCACGAAATTGGGCATAACGTACTGAATTGAGCCTAGAGTGATGTCTGCCTTGTTTCGTGAAAATCAGTCCAGATTTCTATATAGCTCCCATATATAGTTTCTTCCGATTTCGTGTAAATGGTGCACCAAAGTCGCTATATATCTTTCGATTTGCACGAAATTGGGCTTAACGTACTGAATTGAGCCTAGAGTGATGTATGCCTTGTTTCGTGAAAATCGGTCCAGATTTAGATATAGCTCCCTTTTATTATAAAGTGATTTTAAGTAATGGACGCACCAAGGAA